GCATATTAAATCCAGCCAAGCTGTGGTATTATCTCTACCAGATATCTCTAGTATAGATAATGCCACAGCTTGGCTGGATTTAATATGCTAGGGGAGAAATTTGAACCCAGGTTCTCTCGTTAAATGAGTAGTTACAAAATAACGAGGCACTAGGTAGCCAGTGTGAACTACAGGCTACAGTTGTTGAGTAATCAACATGGCACAAGCTAATTAAGGCAATAATTCTACAAAATGCATTCAATGTGCCTTGAATATTTCATACCCTAATCATCATCATCACCATCACCATCAGTGTTTTTTTTCTGGGGGTACGCATACCCCTAAACATTTTGTGAATCTAAGTTCGGCCTCATTGAGGGGTGGTATTTCAATATGAGTAGGGAAATGAGAGTACCCCTAAACATTTTTTATAGAAAAAAAGCACTGATAATAACAATAACAATAGTCCCCCTTTTTTTGCCTGCGTCTTGAGAAACAGAAATGGAGTTTGCTTTTGTTTTGGGGAGTTTTACACCCCTCATTTGCTCTGATGCATTTTGTTTAATGTCTCTAGAGAGATGAATGTAAAGACCAGAAGAAATAAGGCTCTGAACCCTTACAGAGAGTTGTGATTCATCTATCTGCTTTTAAAATAAAGTTATTAGGGTGCTCTTTTCTAGCCCCTTCCCTAACAATGTTCATCTTCTAACCCCAGTCCTGCTCAGCTCCCCTAATTTGTTCCACCTCACTGTTGCCTCTGCTGCCATTCCCCCATTAGGGACACTTTGCAAATAAAAGCAGAAAAATATTACACCAGCTAACTTCTCTGTATAAGTGCTTAAAAATAAAGCAGCTCTCTACTCTTGACTTAGGACGCAGGTGGCACTGTGGGTTAAACCACAGAGCCTAGGGCTTGCTGATCAGAAGGTTGGCGGTTCGAATCCCCACGACGGGGTGAGCTCTCATTGCTCGGTCCCTGCTCCTGCCAACCTAGCAGTTCAAAAGCACGTCAAAGTCCAAGTAGATAAATAGGTACCGCTCCAGCGGGAAGGTAAACGGCATTTCTGTGCGCTGCTGTGGTTCGCCAGAAGCAGCTTAGTCCTGCTGGCCACATGACCCGGAAGCTGTACGCTGGCTCCCTCAGCCAATAAAGCGAGATGAGCGCTGCAACCCCAGAGTCGGTCACGACTGGACCTAATGGTCAGGGGTCCCTTTACCTTTACCTTTATCCTTGACTTGCTTGTGTGAGAACCAACCCATAGCTTAAGCTGAATGCTGGATATTGTGATTATTCAATTGGTATTGAAAGTGTTAAGCTGAAAGGTACAAAGTCTATGTGTGTTTTATCAAAGTGTATTCTTAATTTCATGTAAAATCCCAAATTTATTTGGAAAACGCTCTACGACATATGCCAAAACAAAACAAATCCTCCCCAACTTTCGCAACAAATCTTTGACAGATTGCTCTCATGGCCCCTTTGCCTTGGAGAGACGCTACTTTCCATCAGTGAAGGTTTGGCGTTCCCAAATGAGAAGCGAAACTTTGAGATATGCAGTTGCTTTCTGACAACTGAGATTGGCGGTGTACGCTGGGGGTGGGGAAAGCTTTTCAGATCAGCTAGGTGGGGTGCAAAATGTAGCAAGATATTCCAGATGCCAAGGAATGGGATTCTTGCAAGAGCACTCAGAAGACAGCAAAAACACAGATGCGGTGGGGGAGGCGGGCCATATGGAAAGAGTTACTGAAACAAAGAGATACGTGGAACATCTTTTCCCATTTTGGGGGAACAATGGGGTCATTTAATATATTACCTATTAATAAAATGTAATGGCACTAAAAAAACCCCCTAAAAACCCCAAAGAAAATGAAACAAGAGACAGTAAATTCTGAAGACCTATTGAAGAGGCTAGGTTTTTAAAAAAATGAAATGGGGCCTATACAGTTTCCCTCTTTCTCCTTCCAGTCCATCATTAATGACAGAAAGAAAAATGAGAGTTTGTGATTGAACAGACAACATTAGTCCGCAATAGGACTGGGGGGAGGGCAGAAAATAGGAAACCAGAGCTGACAGGCAGGCAGTCCGCTTGGACCAGGTCATGCATAAGAGCTTCAGTCTTGGTTAGGAATTCAAATCTGCAACCATTTCATCAAAGTCTGATATCATCTTGTGAAACTCGTTCTCCATGCAGTAGCAGCCCATTTGGCAGGGTAGAGCCATGGAGCCAACTTCCTGAGACCGGTGACCCTGGAGTTTGCCAAGGTGGGGCAGCAGTGAGGTCTGGGATGAGTGGAAGCACCCAGTTGGTTCTGCTGGTGCATCTACTAAGCCCCAAACGTGCCCTTGCCCTGCTCCATCCCACCACAAGGTCCACTACTGCTTGAGAGTGACAGAGGTCCATGAAAACATGGATGTTGTTGTTTAGTCGCTTAGTCGTGTCCGACTCTTTGTGACCCCCTGGACCAGAGCACACCAGGCCCTCCTGTCTTCCACTGCCTCCCACAGTTTGGTCAGACTCATGTTTGTAGCTTCGAGAACACTATCCAACCATCTCATCCTCTGTCGTCCCCTTCTCCTTGTGCCCTCCATCTTTCCCAACATCAGGGTCTTTCCCAGAGAGTCTTCTCTTCTCATGAGGTGGCCAAAGTATTGGAGTCTCAGCTTCATGATCTGTCCTTCCAGTGAGCACTCAGGGCTGATTTCCTTAAGAACGGATAGGTTTGATCTTCTTGCAGTCCATGGGACTTTCAAGAGTCTCCTCCAGCACCATAATTCAAAAGGATCAATTCTTTGGCGACCAGCCTTCTTTATGGTCCAGCTTTCACTTCCATACATCACTACTGGGAAAACCATAGCTTTAACTATACGGACCTTTGTGGGCAAGGTGATGTCTCTACTTTTTAAGATGCTGTCTAGGTTTGTCATTGCTTTTCTCCCAAGAAGCAGGCGTCTTTTAATTTCGTGACTGATGTCATCATCTGCAGTGATCATGAAACCTAAGAAAGTAAAATCTCTCACTGCCTCAATTTCTTCCCCTTCTGTTTGCCAGGAGGTGATGGGCCCAGTGGCCATGATCTTCGTTTTTTTGATGTTGAGCTTTAGACCATATTTTGCACTCTCCTCTTTCACCCTCAATAAAAGGTTCTTTAATTCCTCCTCACTTTCTGCCATCAAGGTTGTGTCATCTGCATATCTGAGGTTGTTGATATTTCTTCTGGCAATCTTAATTCTGGCTTGGGATTCATCCAGCCCAGCCTTTTGCATGATGAATTCTGCATATAAGTTTAATAAACAGGGAGACAATATACAGCCTTGTCGTACTCCTTTCCCAATTTTGAACCAATCAGTTGTTCCATATCCAGTTCTAACTGTAGCTTCTTGTCCCACATAGAGATTTCTCAGGAGATATCTACTCAGCCCCAAATGTGCCCTTGCCCTGCTCCATCCCACCACAAGGTCCACTGCTGCTTGAGAGTAACTGAGGTCCATGAAAACATGGATACCTGAGGTTAACTTTAAAGTACCCTTGGTGGTAGGGTCTGAAGTGAGTTGTCAAAAAGTGGAGCATTGCTGGATCAGGCCCATCCTGTTCTCACAGTGGCCAACTAGATGCTCACAAATAGGTTCTGAGCACAACTGAAAATCCCTTTCTGGAATTTCCAGAAACATTACTGTCTCCAACAGAGGAGACGTTTCAGTCCAACATTCCCCGACCTTGTGCTCTTGTCCAAATGTTTTCTTTGACTGCATTATATCTGTATGCTTATTCCCTTGCTATAGTTAAGGTTTGGAAATCTGAAGTAAGCCCCTGCCCTGGATCTGAAGCAAGGTGGAGCTTGTTTTAAGTGATCCGAAGCGAAGAGGCCCCTTATCCAAAGGAGGTTCTTAAGCCATATTTTCCCCACACTGCTAATAAACATTATTTCTGGTTTTCCAATGTGTGAAGCAGCTCTGTTTAAAGTTTCTTTCTGGACTGTGTTAGCGTTAACAATGCAAGTTCACATTGTTGTGTCAACTTGAGCCTTGTGCGACTCCTGTGGATTTCACGTTAACCAGAAAGTTTGTGGTTTTTTTGTGGTGCTATAGCCTGTGCTGTTGTGAGACTGCAAGGTGGAAACATCTTCTGTTCCTACACTCAGCAGCTTAGCAGCTAATAAACACTGTACAGCAACTTCTCATCTCTCAAACTTGCTATTACAATACAGAGTTTTGCCAGGCGCTATATATTTTAAACATCCACACTTCCGGGGTGACTTTGGAAAGTCAACTGAGCAATGGCATGCATGTTCAGGAAACCGTTTTAGCTGCAGCAACACAAGCTCCCTTAAGAGTCTCTAGGGACCCAAGGGCTGCAGAAATGGAACATGAGCAGGTTCTCAAATTTAATGAGCCATAAGAAAGCAGGCCAGCGATAGGGAAATAAAACAAAAGAGGGATGAGCGAGTAATGGAGGAAGGTTAACTGGTCTCCCCTGATTCCTCCTCACCCCTCTTGTTGTTTCTTTCCCCAGTCCTCCTTTAGCTTTGCGGACAATAATGAAGGCTGTTAAGCCAACTCTGAGTTTGGACTCCAGCTCTGCTACAGGCCTTGAATGTGGCCTCCGTCTCATCACCTTCTGCTTCACTTTCTGCATGGGCTGTTTAATTTTTATTTATTCATGTCCCTTCCAGAGGTTTTCCCAGTTCAGAGTCTGAGGCACAGCTTGGAAAGATCAGTTTTTTCTGATCAAAGAGGCAGTGCCAAATTAATCACTAAAGCCGCTTCTCACAAAGGAGTGGATGATTTAGAAGCCAACAGGAAAATATGAAGGGGGAAACCTGTATCGTTAAAAACATGGGTGATATTAAAAATAAAATAAGAAAGCACAGGTGTGCACAACATAGGAATTCAGAAAGTTTCTGTTGACAGAGAGAACAATAAAGCTGAAATAATCTCATTTATTAAAGTGGCTATACCTGCTCACTGACATTTCTCTCTCTGTGTCTGTCTCTCTTGTCTCTCTCCCTCTGTTTTCATTTCACAGAACTGGCCTGGAGGCCATTATGGAAACATATGCATTCTGGAGGCCTCCCGTGCGCACGCTCACCTTTGAAGATTTCACCACCATGCAAAAACAACAAGGTGAGCCATTTTATAATGGGCACCAGAATGGTGGCAATGAAGCAACTGCAGAGCCGCTCTAATGGGCATATGGTATCCAGCTGAATCCCTGATAGTCCTGGGACTCTTGACAGCCGTGCAGAGATATAAACCAGAAAAAGTTCAGCTACTAGTTTCAGAAACACGGGAGGTTTCATAACAGGGGCACTTTATAGCCATTGCAAAGCCCTCTGTATGGGTAGTTCATATTTGGGCTAACACCCCTACTGTATGGTAGAGAGAGGCACATGTGCTTTGAGTTTGGAAGATCCCAAGCTGAACCTCCCACTTAAGCAAGATTTCAGACAAAAGGCCTAGGAAAGGCCTCTTTGCCTGAAAACTTGGGAGAATTGCAGCCAGTTGGAGTAGGACCAGGGCTGGGGGAACTTGGATCCCTCCAGATGTTGTTGGACGCCAACAACACTTTGTTGTTAGCGTCCATCTGTCTTGAGAGACAATGGAGTGCTCCTCAAAGGGTGAAGACAAATTGAAGTGGCCTCCCCAGGGCGCAAGCCTGGGCAGTGTGTATGGGCTGCCCACGTGACAAGACCTCCCTCTCGGCCTCACTGATGTGGTCCAAAGCAAAGCAGAGCAATGCGTTTGTCACAAGCTTGGCTGCAGGATTTTCTGGAAGGAGGTGTACAAGGTGTCTTCCAGCCATCCTAGGGACTCCACTCTGGATTTGTGTAGGGTTTACTCCTTAGCCTTTTCTTCTCCTGAAAATATCCCACAAGATGGCAGAGGTTCAGGGTCCTTTTTCTCAATGGGCTACCTTCCCAGGTTGACGAGCCCCATCTGCCCCCCAGTTCCCACTACAACACGTGCAGAAACTGCCTTCTTGACCATTGAGAGCCAGTGTGGTGTAGTGGTTAAGAGCGATAGACTCGTAATCTGGGGAACTGGGTTCGCGTCTCCGCTGCTCCACATGCAGCTGCTGGGTGACCTTGGGCTAGTCACACTTCTCTAAAGTCTCTCAGCCCCACTCACCTCACAGAGTGTTTGTTGTGGGGGAGGAAGGGAAAGGAGAATGTTAGCCGCTTTGAGACTCCTTCAGGTAGTGATAAAGCGGGATACCAAATCCAAACTCTTCTTGAGTCCACTATTGGTTTTGTCCGCTCAATCCGTCAGAGCCCGTCTTCGCATGCAGGTGGAAGTCCCTAACTCACTGAGGGGTTGAGCCCCATTGGCTACCCTCACCTGGTTTATCTGGCCAGTCAAAGCCGTTTCCTGGGGTGTGGCCCCTGTCAAATGCCGACAGCTTTTAGGACCCACAGGTGAGAGCTGAGTGCAGGTAGGGACCAAAGGTGGGCAAGCTACCCCAGAAGGAGCATGACATGTCCCCCATCAGAGACTACCCCTCCCCTAGCACCCCATACCTGGGAGTTGTAGCTTGACAATATCTGGAGGGCCAGAGGTTCCCTATCCCTGGAACAGACAATGCTAGGCTGCAGGAGCCCATGGTCTGAATCAATATACGGTTTCTTCCTGATAGAGAAAGAGGATGTCTACTTAAATGAACTTACAATGAAAGGTGTCTGGTCAACGTAATGGTGGTGGTGGGAACGTCAATGCATTTTCAGTTCAGCATTGGGTTTTCTTGTATGTGGCTGACTTCTTGCTCTCTTCCGCCTTCCTTATTTCTTCCCTTGTTCATCTGCCAGTTGAGACAAAGCTCCTCATTTGTAAGTTTACTGTTCCCGCACTGCTTCCCTGCTGCTTTTTCCATCTCCTTGTCCCTGCCAAGGAACATGGAGCCCTGATAGACGATCCCTGCCTTTAGCAAAGGCCAGGGCTGAAATAAACCTCCGCTGTTATTTTTTCCTGGGAAAAGTGGCAACATTTCCAGTGTGCTTGTCACAATATCCCCACTGTGGTTTGCATTCTCCCAGACAACTACGGTATGCCCAAGGGTGGTCTTTTGAGGGATCATCAGGAGGTTCTGCCCCAGAGCCAAGGATTGCCTCCTGGGCAGTGACCAAGAAAGCAGGGAGGAGCTGTACTGCTTTGCTGCCTTCCCTTGTCAATAAATATAAGGCATATTTATGCCATAAACTTCTGTCAGTTCCATACCAGCCTAGTTATCATGGTTTCCCTTGAAGAAATCCTAGAAATGGCAGTTTGATGTAGGTGTTAAGAATTCTCTAGAAGAGAGCCATGGCTCCTTGTATGGAACTAGACTGCTCAGAGTTTGTCTAGATAAAAGATTATGCCCTGCCTTTCTGCCCTGAAGGGCAGCTCACAATCACACAAAAACCATTAGCTAAAAAACAAAATGAAAGATAAAACAAATAGAAACAAATATGCAGCATAAACATCAGCAACCAAAGTTGAACAGTGGCAGGAAACCTAATGGAAGCCATGCTTTAAAAAACAACAACAACCCGCTCTCTTGTGCTAAATTTCATTGGAAGAATTTACTGGGAGAGAAGGAATGGCTATTAAACCAGCTGGAACTCCCTGCCTATTGATAACAAGCAGGCACCTTCACTGTACACACTTTTGGCACCTGCTAAAAACATTATTGTTTAGGCGAGCCTACCCAGGTGTGGGTGGCGCTGTGGGTTAAACCACAGAGCCTAGGACTTGCTGATCAGAAGGTTGGTGGTTCGAATCCCCACGACAGGGTGAGCTCCCATTTCTCGGTCCCTGCTCCTGCCAACCTAGCAGTTCGAAAGCACGTCAAAGTGCAAGTAGATAAACAGGTACCACTCCGGCGGGAAGGTAAACGGTGTTTCCGTGCGCTGCTCTGGTTTGCCAGAAGCAGCTTTGTCATGCTGGCCACATGACTCGGAAGCTGTACGCCAGCTCCCTCGGCCAATAAAGTGAGATGAGCGCTGCAACCCCAGAGTCGGTCATGACTGGACCTAATGGTCAGGGGTCCCTTTACCTTTACCTTACCCAGGTGCTTAAAAAGTTGAGGTAATTTTAATCTCTTTAAGTATTTTTTTTTTACTTTTGTGTGTTTTAAAGTACTCTTGTAAATTGTTCTTGATTTTCTTGTTTTATCTTTTTGTAAACTGCTTTGAATTATTATTTTCTTAAAAAATAAAATAAAGCGGTGTATAAATTTTATGAAATAAATAAGTAGAATAGCTAGTCCCCACTTCATCCATAGTGATTGAACTGTGAGGGTTGGGTGGGCAAAGGGGACCATTACATTTTGTGACCTCTTCTTAGCTCCCGTGTTTCAAGGCTAGTGGGGGCTGAGGGTGATTCATGATTTGGATAAAATTGGGAGGAGTTAGCAAGTGTTTCTGAGGTACATTAAGTCCCATGGCCCCCACTGTTCTGATATAATTTAACTACTGCTTCCTCAGTCCACAGTTTATTTAAATGTATGACGAGGAAGCTTCTGTATCATTCCGTTTTGTCAGATTTGTGACCTATCCAGTGCTCCCCCCCCAAAAAAAATGTTTAGGGGTACTCTCATTTTGACCCAAGAAAACCTCCATTTTATCGTTCAAATCGGGGAAAATAAATACAGTAAATGGACAAAAGTGCAAAGATTCACAAAATGTTTAGGGGTAGGCGTCCCCCTGCACCCCCCTGAAAAAAGCACTGCACCTATCCAATTTTCAGAGGTATTTCCTGGGTGCTGCTGAAAATTCTCTCTCACCCACTCCAAAGCTCTTTCAAGAATTTAACACCAAACCCAAAAACAAACCATCTCTGTTGCTGATTATGTTCCATTAATGCTACATACATGACCTCAGGGACCATGGATTTTAGTGATTTGCCCCTCTTATGTACTGAGCTGAATCCTAGAACAATAGGATCCAGAATGCAGCAGTCTGATTGGTCCGTAGGAGCCACCCAATCCAGCTCCAGGTGGAAGTGAATCAGGAACCTGATTGGCCTGCAGGAGCAGCCAATCAGGCTTCTGGAGGAAGTGAATCCACAACCTGATTGGCCTACAGGAGCAGCCCGTAATTAGCCAATCACACGGGGCCCATTGGGTAAATAATGTATATATAGCAGACGTTTTGGGGAAAGTTTCATTCATTGCTACTACGAGTTGAATAAAGAGCATGAAATTCAAACTCAACTCCCAGTATATTTCAACTGCCTAGGACTGGAATATCTGTTCTGTTCTGTTTGATTGATACCCTTGGTCAAAACATTGTAGGTAAATAGTACTTTCTACAACTTACATGTGTGGCCAGGCTAATAGCAGTCTCCCCCTCCCCCCCTTTTCTAGTGGTGGTGTTAATATAGAACTTTATAATGCCTTGGGAGTAAAAAGTTGACACCCCCTCCTCAATATATTTGCTCTGATCAAATTCAGAATGCCCCAGAGCTGTTTTTAAAATAAAATGTTGGGAGATCAGATCACATGTCTCCCTCATCCCATGTAGCTACTATAAGACTGTGAAAGGTAGCCCTGTGCCTAAAGGCTTTGACTCAGAGCCTGGGGCATGTTTTAGCCACACATTTGTGTGTGAGCATCCTTGGATTATCAGGCCAAGTGTGGCATTTTCTGCTCCAGTGATTAGATGGACCACTAGGCCTTGAATCCATAGCTGCACTGATAACCTTCTGCCCCAGTGGCTATCAAATGACATGTTCATATCAACCGCAGCAACTGCTGACACAGTCAAGTAATATAAGGAAAGGAAAATATTTCATGTATTTTTAGCTTCTTTAAATGCAATTTGGCAGCTGAAAAACCAGGAAGCGAGCCAAGACCATGTGACTGGTGAGCTCCCTGCGGACGTACTACCAACTGTTGCCTTGGCTGCTCATTCAGGATGGCATCAACTAAAATTTGTCCCTAGTTCAGGACCCATTTGCCAAAGTCATAAATGACTTTACACCTACAGCTTTTATGGTCTTCATTTTGTGTGCAGCTTTCCTAAGAGACCCTCAAGGATAGCTAAGCTCAAGCAAAACGGGAAGTTTTAAAGGCATAAGGATTTGACACCCTGGAAGAGACAGGCGGTTTTGCATTTTTCCAGCTATGTAAAACGTTGAACCCAGTAGAA